CATCTGGGGCCACCACGGGGAAGCCCCCCGCACCCCCCCAGCCTGGCGGCCCCGCACTGGGACGTAATGCCAGCGCCCGGTCGGTAACGCTCACGCTGCCCGCTCTATGCCCCGGCGACCGAGGGAGGGACCTGGGGCAGATGGGGGCTGCCATCCAGGCCCGTGCTCACTGGCCCTCCGTGCCCTGCCTGCAGCCGCCGCTCCTCCTCCTCTTCCTCCTCCTCTGCCTCGAGGACTTCCAGCTCTCGCTCCAGCTCACGCTCCAGCTCCCGGTCCCGCCGTGGTGGGGGGTACTACCGCTCAGGCCGTCACGCCCGCTCCCGCTCCTGGTCCCGTTCCCGCTCTCGCTCCCGGCGCTATTCCCGGTCCCGTAGCCGTGGCCGGCGGCACTCAGGTGGGGGCTCCCGAGACGGACACCGCTACTCCCGCTCACCTGCCCGGCGTGGTGGTTATGGGCCCCGGCGCAGAACCAGGTACGTGCAGCTGGGTGTGTCAGGGTGGCCGGGCTGGAAGCAGGCTCCAATCACAGGGAGACAGCGTGTTCTGACAGACCTGGCCGCTGTGTTCAGAGATCACCCAGAGTGAGGGAAGAGGCACAGGCCACTGCTCTGTCCTCAAGAAGCTCTCGGTTCAGAAGGGAAGGCATAGCTGGGCCACGCTGTTTGGGGTGCTCAGAACATAGCTGCGGTCGGGTGGAGTTGGGCCCTGCTCTCAGGAGCTTGGTGGGAGCAGAGACTAAGCAGCCCTTGTCACGGGATGCTCCTGTTCCTCTGTCAGGAGTTCCCAGGTCACAGGGAGTAGAGTTGCGTGGACACGCCAGGGCGTCCTGTGGCTTAGAGTGAGGAACCCAGGTTTTTCAGGCAGGAAAAGTCCACGTGGAAGCGTGAGTTGGTGGGGAGGGGACAGGAGAGTGATGATAGTCTTGTGCAGAGGAGACAGGCACTGTGCATGACCAAGGAAATAAAGCCTTTGGGGTACTGGCCGTTCCTCCCCTGGGTTCCCCTGCCAAATGGAGTCAGGGTGCTTTCAGGAGGGCAGTGAAGTTGGGTGGATGAGCTGTGAGATAGCCTGAGCCTTGGCCCTGCTGGTGACCTCCGTGGGCCTTCTGTCTTAGTAAGGTAGAGAGATCAGTGAGTCCTTGCTGAGGTGTAATGAGCAAACCCACGTAGCACAGGACCCAGCCCTGGGTGGGGGGGGTGTCACCACACACCTGGAACAGGGAGGAGGGACTGGGTGGCGAGCACACAGGCCACCCAGGGGTTGCTGGCTGCTTGTGGCAGACCTGGTGGTCCCACCCTCTGGTTTCTCAAGAGAAGTTGAGAGTCTGGAGTTTTAAAGGATAGCTTTTGTTTTCTCAATGTTGACAAGTTTTAATTTTGTAAAAACCCAGTATAGCACAAGCATAGTTAGTATGTGGCAGAGTTGGCTTCCAGGTCACTCAGTGTAGCCTGACCCAGGGACACAACAGGAGAGAGGCCGAGGCCAAAGTGGGGCCGAGTTGCATGGCTAGCACCCGCCTGAGAATAAACCCTTGCTGGCCTTCCCCAGGGCTCTGAGCAGGGAGAGGATGGGACTGCCTGCCTCAGATCAGAGAGTGTGGGTCTATGCTAGAGACGCTCGGGGTGGAGGGGTGGTCCCAGCTGGTGCCAAGACCCTGGGCCTGAGCAAGAGGAGGAAGTGTGGGTGATGGTGCAGACAGGTCACTTGGGAGCCCCTGCTGTGTGCCCTGAGCCAGCCAGCTGCGCCTGCCCTCCCACAGGCCACCTGCCAGCATGTGTGTGCAGGGAAGAGGAGCCGGGTAGGCAGAGCTGGTGGCTCGAGGAGCTCTTTTTAGGCTGGATGTGTCTAGAGGGCCATTGGGTCTGGAGACTAGGCTGGGGGCGGCTCAGGGTTTCTGAGGGAGAGTAGGAGGAAAGTCAGGTCCAATACCCAGGCCCTGCAGGACTGTCAATTCGGAGCCAGGGGATGGGTGCCGACTGGTCCCTGGAGCCTCACGGCCCCTCCTGCGCCTCCAGGAGCCGCTCCCGCTCAGGGGACCGCTACAGGCGGGGGGGGCCGGGGCCCCCGGCACCCACCAGCCAGC